CCCCCCCACCACCACCACAATAATGTAAGTCTAAAATTCTCTAGTATATAGGTTTCAAGTTTTCGTGCAAAATGTGGACTTGTCCCTACAGTTTTCCTGACTTAACATCAATGTGCCTAAAGGTTAGGGTTGTCCTAAATAAACATAAACAACCCAAAAGTTAATTAAATCTGAAAAAGCCTCGAGAAGATGTCGAGATAAGTGTAGATTTTAGACTTATCAATAGTCACTGTCTTTCATAACGTACTTTATTAAAACTGTAAAACTTGTACATGGCTTATCGGCTCACCTAATTCTCAACTAAGATGTTACTACAGAGAATTGAAAAATTATTACAAAAACGCGATATGTCTCTACAACTGAAAACATTGTTTCTAAAAGAAGTAAAACACGAGTAGCTATGGAATAAAAGATAAAAACTTTACAAATTCATTATTTAGTTTTAAAAAGCTATTTAACTTGAACAGAAATTTGAATCACTTGTTATTTTTTATAGCATGAAAGTTAAATCATTAGTTAGCTAATTTTGAATTGAAATTCACGAAAGTTAATTATTAGTTAAAGCCAACAACAAATACTCAAGTACGTGCAATTACAACCTAAGTTTTCGATTATTTTGGTCAAAAAATCCTTAGTTTCCATAAGTTTTTTTCTAAAGTTTTCGAAATTTTATTAAATATCAAAATAAAAGAAAACTTGTTTCAAATTTCAGAATCACTTTCTAGAGTTTGAGTTGACTTAATAGAAATATAAAAATTCTAAATATGGGATTAATATGAATTTGCTTAATACAAAGATAACTATGGTTGTGCGTGGGTTGTGTTGGATTGGTTTTGAGTCTAACCCAACCCAACATGTTCAGTTTGACAATAATTCAAACCGAAACCAACGCATTCACGGTTGAAACCCAACACAATCCAAACCAACCGAACTCGGGTCTATTTGGGTGGGGTTGATTGGTTTGGACTTGAATTCAATTCAAGTTGAACAATTTTTTTATGAGCCCAATGGTTGGAACCTTTTTTCGTTGAATTTGAACAATTTTTTTAAAGTTTGATGCCATTTTAATTTGGACAATTACATTAAAAAGGATGATTTGAAAAGCATTAAGTCGATTGAAATTAGATTAATGGTCCATGGGGTTAAGTTCAATTCCAATAGAACAATATAAATTAAAAATATTGTAAAACCTGTTAAATATATTATATCATGACAAAATTAAATACATATTAAATCAATATAAATACATGTTGAATACCTGCATAATATACCTATTGAATAAAATAAATTCAACATAAATACTAAAAATGTTAAATCATCCAAACTCAATACAAAATTTCCTTCAATCCAGGTGTTTAGCCAAAAATCAAGTCAAAAAATCGAGTCAAGAAGCCAAGGCACGGACAACAATGAGAGACGGAAGAGACTTGAGGCACAAGAGAAATTTGATCATTAGGTTTTAGGTTTTTGATTTTAAGTACTAATTTTCTTTTAATATTTTTTAATTTATTGGGTTGGGTTGGGTTGGGTTGGATTTTAATAGATAACCCGGAACCCAACCCCGACCTAAAATTTGATTTTCTAACCCGAACCCAAATCTATTGAACTAAAAAATAATCCAAACCTGTTGGGTTAGGTTAGGTTAATAGGTTTGACTGGTTCGAATTAATTTTTGTCCAACTCTAAAGATAACTATGATAAACAATTAAAATAATTGTCAAATTATCTAACATTTATCAAATTCATAAAATTTCAGCGTTGCATCTCAAGGACAAAATAATAATAATTATAACTTTTTAGATACAAAAAATTATTAACTCAATGACATGACACGTGTTTGTACAAGTCACTTGAGGGTGCATGTAAACATTGCTCAACTCCCAATATGATTTTATAAGCATCAATAGCAAATTTTTCGATAGGTAGTAAGTATTTGAAGTGATGTCACCGAATTATGAATTTCACAAATCTATAAATGAATCGTGTCATTTTCTTCAAAATTAGCATCATCAAAAAGTTATGTCTTCAAAACATTCAGTGCTTTAACATTTTGATGTGATCGTAACATCTTTGCACAACGAAACAATAACATTAGACATTGCATGACCTTCAAATTAAAAAGTGGCAAAACATGTCACTTTTTAATGGACAGCCTTCATGCATATCCAATTCAAAAAACAAAATGAGCAAGATCTAAATATCAATTAAAACATTTCTTTTTAGTTTAAGTAAAAATGTTCTATTACAAAAACACAAATTAGATGTAAAGCAAAGTTATAATGTCACTTTTTAATGTAAAGCAAAGTTATAATGCAAAATTCAAATTTGCATTTTCACAAACACGTTGTATGAATCTCTCTAATTGTTCTATTTGATCTGTAATAAATCAACACCATTAATCCATAGTTGAATGTTCATGTAAACTAATTCAGAACTAATAATTCAAAATTGAATTTTCATATACACAAACATAAACAAAAACTTAAAAATTCTCAAACAACCAATTTGAGCCAATCATGCCATCAAAATCCAAAGTTGAATTTTCATATATACCATAACAAAAATCTTTTATGTAAAACGAGTATATTACCTCAAAAATGAAC